GCCTCTCTGCCGTGGCTCTCCCAGGAGTCCTCCCTGCCCCTCTCCCTGTGCTGCTCCTCAAGGCATCACCCCCAGCATCCTGGAGGGTGAGAAGATCTCACAAGTGAGAAAAGCAGGTTTTTGACTTTGCCTTGGTTTGCTGAGGTGTGGGTGGAGGTGATCCTTCATCTCCCCTGACCCTGAGGGACAGGAGGGCTGGGGGACTGGTGTCAAAACCTTCTGCAGCTCTTTCATTTTGGAGGTGTCCCCTCTGTCCCAGCCACCCTGCTCGTCCATGGCTTGGGATCCAGGGCCCAACTTGCTCCTTGCAGTTTGGCAGAAGAGAAGTGTTTCCTCTTCTCTTCTCCTCTTCTCTCCTCTTCTCTTCTCTGTCTGAGTGCAGGCACACAAGGCAGCAGATTTCTGTCAGGCTAGAAGTTGACCCCACCTAAGTAAAAAGCTGCCAAACGTGCAGAAGGCAAAGAAATCCCCGTTGCTATGACCAAGAACATAGGAAAGAATAATCACTGTCCTTCCACATTATCAAAATGCATTTATGTGGCTTTCAGTTGACAATTTCACATGGTCTCCTACATTACAACCTCTATTGTCTTTCCTTTCCTTTCCTTTTCCTTTCCTTTTCCTTTCCTTTTCCTTTCCTTTCCCCACGTCTCCTCCAGGGAAGAAGCGAGCTTGGATCCCAGATGAGAAAGAAGCCTATATCGAAGTGGAAATAAAAGAAAGCTCTGGTGGCAAAGTCACTGTGGAAACCAAAGATAAGGAAGTAAGCAAATTCCTTTCCTTTTCCAAGGGAGAGCAAGTGTGTGTGGAGGGGGATACGTGTGACAGGATCACGTCTGAAGCCATGAGCTCTTGCTGATAACCCTGATCAGTGGTGCCCTGGGGGGACACACACGGCAGTGTCAGCACACGTAGGCCGGTTCCTTGCCAAGGGTGGCACCAGTTCAGCATCTCCCACCGAGGGGTTGCTGTCACAGCCCTGTGGGTGTCCTGCGGGACACACCGAGGGCACGGTGGGGCTGGCCCAGCACAGCTCCTGGATGGGGAGCACCCCCAGCACAGCCCTTTGTGATGCTGAACCAGTGCCTGGCTCATCCCGCAGCCTGGAACAACAGGTAAGGGGCCAGCTGGCCAATTCCTGCTCCTTTTAGCCCAGATTTGCAGTGGGGTGAGCTGATGGGAGGACAGGCTGTGACGGGTGAAGAGGCTCCAGCTTTCCGCGGCAAAACAAGCAAGGACCAGCTGGTATTTGTCAAGATAATATCCAGTGCAATTAGCTGCAAATGAGCTTAATTAATATTCCTCTCTTCACTATGGAAGTCTCATGACCCTGCAATTTAACTGCAGAGCACACTGGTGTGAAACTGGGGAAAGGAACAAGGACCTCACCAGGCAGTAGATGATAGACTTTATTATTTCTATTTCTTCTCTAGTCAGAATAGCACTAAGAACGGTTTGTGGTTGCTAAATGTGAAAAAAAGAAATATGTAATTGTCTTTGAAAAGTGTCAAGGCTTTGAAAATATTTTGTCTGAATTTTGGAAAGCAAGTAAAGAGATTTGCCCTCTCCAAAGTGAAATTTGTCATAGAGGAGTTATAAATTTTAGAAGTTTCTTCTGATATTTAGAACACCTTCCAATTCTGAGAACAGAGCAGTTTCCAAACCCCTTTTTTGCTGTTTCCTCTTGAAACTGTCTTTTTATTAATTTGTCATGGATTTACTAAATCAGAAACTATATCAGCTTTCCCTGGATAAGCATTTTCAGCAGAAAGTTTTGAGACATAAAGCCTTCCTTTATCCTTCTGTGTTGCTTTTAACACCTGGTGCCTTTTAACACCACGTGCTTCATCTTCACCCATGAAAAAGATAAACCTCTGAAAGATTTAATTTAGTCTTTATTAACAAGACCATTTGCTAAATCCAGCTTCTCCATCCAGGCCAGATATGTAATGTGATATTTTCCCCGTGCTTGGTCTCGTGGGATTAAATAAATCCAGTTTTAAGTGATGGAGCACAGGCTTCAGCTGTTTGCCCAAATAACCAGGGATGTCTTTGGAGCAAAAGGCAGTGCTGGCATGGGCTTTAAGGCTGGGAAGAAGAACACAGGATGGGGGTGTCAAACACATTTTGGGGGAATAACTCGGACCCCTCTGTCAGGCTCAGCACAACCTGAGCTCAGGCTCAAGCCTCTCCCTGAGGAGGGAGCAAGCTGGGTGTGCTTGTCCCAGCTGGGCTTTGTGGCTGGGTGCTGCTGGGGCTGCCCTGGGGCTGTCACCCACAACGTTGGGCAGCCCTGCCAGGACGACAGCAGGCACAGGGACCAAGGTTGTCCCCAGCACGGGACTGTCAGGGTTTTGTCTCCACCTGGCAGGTTTTGGGGCAGAGGGTGCTCGGTGAGGGCTGGGGTCCCTCTGACGTGTCCCCCTCCTCTGACAGACACGGGTGGTGAAGGAGGACGAGGTGCAGCCCATGAACCCCCCCAAGTTTGACATGATTGAGGACATGGCCATGCTGACACACCTCAACGAGGCCTCTGTGCTCTACAACCTGAAGCGCCGCTACTCCCACTGGATGATCTACGTAAGCCCACGGCACCCTTGGGATGGGGAGGTCAGGGGACATTGGGACATCCCTCATCTACCCATTTTCTCCCTGCAGACCTACTCGGGGCTCTTCTGTGTCACCATCAACCCCTACAAGTGGCTGCCGGTGTACACGGCGCCCGTGGTGGCAGCCTACAAGGGCAAGCGGCGCTCGGAGGCCCCGCCGCACATCTACTCCATTGCTGACAACGCCTACAATGACATGCTCCGCAGTAAGCCCTGCCCTGGGGGACCCCATCCCGGCCACCCGGGCTCCTGGCACCCGGCAGCCCTGCTTACAACGCCTACAATGACATGCTCCGCAGTAAGCCCTGCCCTGGGGGACCCCATCCCGGCCACCCGGGCTCCTGGCACCCGGCAGCCCTGCTTAACACCGGCTCCTTCTCTTGCAGACCGTGAAAACCAGTCCATGCTCATCACGTAAGTGTCGCTGCATCCCCGTGCTGTGCTCCCTTGCACGGGCACCCTGTGCCCAGAGCAGCCCCCCCGGCAGTGTCCCCTCCCCATGGCGGCAGCTGTCACCCTTGCCCCGCCACCGTGCCAGGTGACAAAGCCCCGCGCGGGCCGGGCTCCCCCGCACCCCGACAGCTGCGGGAGCGCCCCGAGCCCCGGCACCCTCCGGGGGAAAGCAGAGATGGAGGCCAAGGCCGCAGCGACATGGTGGCCGGAGGGAGAAGGGTGATGTGGGAGGGTGGAGGCCAGGTTGATTTCAAGTGACATCTAGATAAGGGCTATATAAAGGACTCTAAAGGACCCTCCGCCGCTGCCAGGAGCCAGGGACATTTTTAGCCTGGGCCATGGCCTAATTAGGAAAGGCAGGGGCTGCAGAGAGATGCTTGGCGAGTGTCCGGTGGCGGCCCCGCTCCCCCCGGCTCTTTGTGCTCCGGGATTACAATGGCACAGCAGCACTAACTATAGGGATGAGCTCAGCCCCCCTCAGCGGGCACCCTGCACCCCGGCACCAT